GAAATAAGTCAACTTTAAAGACCTTTCCCATCACCAAAGCCTTCCCAGTCAATCAAGTTCAAGCACTGAAGTGCAAACCAGTGCTCTGCTGATAAAACTCAGGAGCATTAGTGAGAGTCAGACACTGAGCTCACCCAAGCTTCATGGTCTGCACGTATCTCTCACTATATAGACTGAAAAATATCTCTGGAAGACACTGAAGCTCTCGTGTTATCTAAAGCAAAGCAGCACATACAGACATTAGCACTGAAACTCTAAATCTGATTCTATATTCTTGCAGCTAAGGTGTTAGGAGGTGCCTCAGATGCTTGGACACCCACACCTATTAACATCCCTCAATCCATACCAACATGCCCTAAAGCAAATGTCTTATTTCCACCTGAAAAAGTATTCACTTACTTCTTTCTGTCTCTCTTGACAGATTTTTCTTTACTACCTTGCAGCCTTTGACTCCTCTTTTATCCTGGGCTATATTTGTAACTGTTGGCTTATTCTCATTGGTACTCTCAGATGTTTTTATTTTTACTCCCTGTTTTTCCAGATAAGTATTCTTCTACAGACACTGGCACATCTACCTTAGTTGCTAGAAGCATTTCTTTGGCATCTCCAATTGAGATGTAACATTTCCATGTTTTCCAACAAAACAAATCCATGCAAAGTAATGTACCTCACAGGATACCTGCTGGCACCGTTCCTCACTTTTGCCTTCATCCTTTGCTCAGATCAGGGGGCTGGTTTGGAAATTAAATTTAAACAGAGCTAACAGAGTTCCTCCAGGAAACAAACAAAGAAAGCAGTTCAGCAGTGGAAAACAGATTTGTATTCTAATAAGGTTTACCTGTTATTTAGAATTGATACCCTCAGCAGCCATGCATGTTACGTGTGGGCCTGCTCCATTATGGTAATTCCTTTGGCCATTTTTTACTCCTCTATGCTAAGCATTTTGTTATCCTTCACCTCTAAGCGTGCCTAGAATTAGATGCAAGCTGTCCTGGGAAAAAGTGTGTGCAATTATAGGATGTATTGAGTATTAAAAAAAAATAAATTAATAACTGGAAAAGGACAGGAAAGGAGAAAATGGTTGAAAGTGAAACTGACGTTTGCTTCAAATCCTGTTTTGGCCAATGAAAAGCCCTGGTTTCTGTGTTTTAAGTGACATTTCACTAAGTACACAGGAGTAACCACCAGAGAGATCTCCCACCTCCAGGCCAAGATTTCTTAGATTCCTTTGAAATCCACATGTTAAAATGAAAATATAACAAAGTACCTACTTGGGAGCGTTTGAATCCAGCACAGAGTAATTATTAGTAATAATCAGAAATCCGTGTATTTTAGGACCAAATGAATCCTATTACCAACACTTCCATTCTGTTTATGGCTTATCATTCTTAACCAGAGCACTCCATACCACGAGTCTCTTCCAGCCTCCCATCTTTCACCAGCTTTACAACCTGTAGCTCTGCCACATCTCTAGTGAACGCTTGCATTTATATTTGTGGCTTACCTTTAGAAGTCAAAGGGCAGAGACAGAACATTATCTATTCTCAGGAATATCACTGAATGAATACTTCCCACAATGAATAAGGAGCACTGTGCTGCAGATGATGTTTCATCCAGATCAACTTCAGTGGCCTGAAACATTTTTCTACCACTTACATCCCTGTCACTGCTGCAGTCCCTTTGCTACGGAGAGGTTTGGAGAGCTTGACATCTTTCAATACTGAGTTCCAGCCTCCAAGCCTGCTATTCTGCTGTTTGAAAATACACATCTGCCTTTCCTGGAGAGGAATTTCATGCAGGTGTTGAGCATTTCAATTTGAATTCTCACGCCATCCACATTAATTAACTTCACACTGCAGTGTGAAGTTGGGATTTGCTGAAGACACCGAGTCTCTGTAGAGCTCCTCTGTCCCTGGAGGTGCTCAAGAAACACTCAGACGTTGTACTGAGGGACGTGGATTAGTGGGCAATATTGGTGGTAGGTGGATGGATGGATTGGGTGATCTTAGAGGCCTTTTCCAACTTTAATTATTCTGTGGTTCTGTGATTCTATAATGTTGACAGGGGAATTGTCCACATTACTTGTAAAATGAAAATTCAAGTTTGTAACTTTCAAATTGATTTGTCTCTTAACTGAATACTTTAAAACCAAAATTACTTACTTAATAAACGTCCATTTATTTTCCTGAACTAATATGATAGATGTGTTAGTACTGTGCACAGAAGTTTCTAGCAGGTAGGAAATAAAAAACAAGCACTCTCTCCAATACTGAGTACAACAGGTAGGAATATTCTTGCAATTATGGCAAGTTTAGAGAAAGCTACTCTTGCTGAACAGAGAAAAACATTGTGGTTTTGTTGGTTTCTTTTTTTTCAGAAAAAAAAACCAATTTCTGGTGAATTCATACCAAATACTTTGCAACACCACTTACTGTGAAAACAAGCTCCAATAATAATAACACTTTTCCAGTAGAACAAATCATTTAAACAGGTTTAGCTGAGCTGGAAAAAGAAACAAAACCATCCATGGTTTCATGTTTCTTCCTTCTTTTAAATTCAAAAAAAATAAAAGCTATTGACCATTAGTTTGAAATAAAATATCAGCTTTCTAAAACAATTTTAGAAGCTTTTTTCCTCCATGGCTGGCTTTTACAGAGAGCACATTCATTTAAAGCCCAGGGGCAGTTTTATTTTAAAGCTGTGATACAAATCAAAGAAATGCAAGAGTTGATTTTGAAGACCATTACTGTAACATCGTTATTGACTGCTATAATGGTAATAAGTGAGACCCAGCATTCAGTGCTTTTGATTTCTGCCTCCTGTGTGCATCCATTTCTTGATAGAAATAGAAGCAATCCATGCATTTCTCAAATACAAAATATTCAAACCCATACAAAAAAGATATATATAGATATGTGAGGAAATCACAAGAAAGGAATTTGGGAGATGTAAGTGCTTTAGTCTAGTTTTCTATTCTCCTGCTCTCGTACTAACTGGAGATGGCCATTATTATCCTCTGCAGGCAGACTTAGGATCAATTCCTACATTTTTCTGTCCATGTGATAGAGATGTTAGAAATGGAGAGTCCAGAAGGACAAGGGGCAAAACATACTTCTAAAAATTCTAGGCTGACAGGTTAACGAGCTATTAGGAGTTTGGCTTTGGTTTTGCTTCGGTTTCTAAACGAGAAATAACTTTGCATTAGAAAATGCAGATTCCATGGAAGTAGGAAAAATTGCATACACCCATCAGTTAAACATTCATCACCAAGACACTGAATGAAACAATATCTTATTCTTTAAAGCTCAGACTTAAAAAACGGAGACCACATAGGAATAGGCAAACAATTCATCCAGACCAAAATATCTTCTTGTGAGGCAACAGAGAATGTTAAATAAAACCAGCATACAAATCACAATAATATCTTAGTAGTCATGAATGCTTTATTTTTTAATCCCAATAACTCATTTGTGAACAAATCTGCCCTATTTCACTGATCCTTACCATCCTTTTCCGCATAGTTTTTTTCAAAGATCAGTGAGATAACCTGATAGGAGCAAACATGGAGTGGTTCTGGGACACTGCCAGGATTATAGAATTGTTTCTGATGGATTCAGTACTTCAGTTTTTTACTGTTGCAGTGAAAAAAATTGCAGTTTTGATCCTCATGCAAAGCAAGTTTTCTCTACTCTCCACTGGCAGATCACTCTGAAGTGACTCCACTGGTGAGACGGGCAGAGTGTTTTCTGTTGAATTATTTGCTGCTAACTACTGAGGATGAAAGCACTTAACAGAAATGGAGTCCCTGGTTCCCAAGTCATTCCTGGGGAGAGCAACAGAGAATTTTCTCCAGCTAAGCACCATCTGTTGAACTCTCTGAAATAATGAATGCAGTTCAGAATCATTTATTTGAAGGCAAAGCTTACTAATTAGCAGTACCACAGCAGCAGAGTGCTTTCTTACTAAGGACCGATCCAAGATATGTTGATAATACTGTCTTTTATATAGTTTGGACTAACAACAGTCCAGAACTTCAGCAGACACCAACTACCTTCACACCTCAAAGTTCAGTAACACGCAGCTGATGCACACCACCTGCAGGGAATTCACTTACAGCTGTGTGTTAGGATTTTTTACAAGGGGATACCAGGACTGGCCTTACAGAAACACTGCTTTAGCATTCTGTCCCTGAGTGGTAAATAAATTACTATGAAGCATATTTTGCTAAGCAACAGTTGATTTGTGTCAAAGCACTGCCATCAGCTTTTAATGTGCGGGGCACATTCACTCTGAACACTTCTCCCTGAGGATTATTCTCCTTAATATACGAAACACTAACAATTAAAAATTAAACCTGGCTGGCAGAACATCTTTGGCTTTTATTGTCCTCAGTGTATCATTTGGACACCGTTGTTCATCAACCTCTGATTACAAAAATTGATACTGCCCTTCAGAATAGCTAACAAGTCAAACATATGTGCTCAGTTCTGTCAATCAACTGCTTCATTAGGGAGCAGGGATAAAAGCCAGTGGCAAGAATAAGCCTCATCCCCAAAACATCACCACACTGTTCAAACAGAGTCCAACAGGGTCAGCTGGTGGGTTGTGCAGTTCCACGTGACCCTGAGCAATGAATGCAAATCAAGAAAGCAACAGTCTCACAGAGTTGTGTTTTGTTTCCTTGCTAAGCTGCACAACTGTAGAAAAGCCAGCCATGCATCCCGTTTCCCTATTCCTGTACTTCACCTATCACCAGGAAGTCAAATTAAGAGGTTTCCAAAAATCTTGCTGTATCACTGACTTGTCACCTATGGGAATCATCATTTCATAAATGCAGCCTCTGTCCGGAACGACAAAGGCCAGGCTGACAAAAATGTACGACTTACTGCTTTGTGAAACTCATAATGATCACCTTTGCTGTTGGGAAGGGTAGGTCACTTACAGGAGTTACAGATTTTTCCCTCTTGAGTGCAGAGTATTACCAGAACCTTTTTGCTTACCGGAGGATCTTGATCCTCAGCCGAAACAGTAGTGATAACAGTGCCCTTGACAGCATCAGGAGCAACCATTCCTCTGTAGAGCGTCTTGCTGAACACTGGCGAGTAATCATTCATATCCTGCAAGAAACAAGAGTTTATTTCTGAAGTTTAAACAAAGTTATAGACACGTTCACAGTTGATCCTTCAAACACCACCTGACCGCTCCTTCCTCATTTGGAAACCTATTTGCCATTCACAGCCTCTTTGTGGCTCTCGATTCCATCGCCACCAGGCAAAAGTAGCACAGAAGGAGCCAAGTTTCAATGCAACGTATTCATACGAGACAGATCAACAGAAGGGAATTCTGCAGGAAAATACAGTCTTACAAGTAAACCAAGCAGAGATTTCCGTGACAGCTGCTTCTCAAGCAGAGGGCCACAACATGGTTTGGCTAAGTTTCTCAAATGAATGAGCTTGCTGTTGCTTGATGGCACGTAACTACAGAGATGCTGCAAATGCTCATACTGTCTAGTGTGCTATGTTATCATTTAAAACATTCATCCACACCTCATCAGGGGAAACGACAGTGTAGTAAACGTCTGTGAAGATGAGGAAATCACTGCTACAAATCCATGTAATACGAGGCTGGATAATTAATGCATTATGTTCTGCTGCAGGGTCTGCAATTCAAGGCTTCAAAGCATTGGAAATGCTTTTTTTGCTGATTTTTAGATTTTCCAAGAGACAATTGGACCATCACATTAAAATAAAAAGCGACAAGTAGGCAATTCAAACTAGGAGAGCCTTCTAATGAAAAGATTTTGGAAACACATCCAAATTCAAACAAATTAGCATTTCTTCGTGGAATTACATTGCATCTTTCACTTTCAATGTCTTGATCTGTTTGCAAGAAGATAATTTGCTTAATCTCAGAATCTAAAACCAACGACTATTTCACATGAACAATTTTGCTCCTCTCAACTCTTCGAAGTGACGCCGTGTCTTCAGAATTAGCTATCCTTTGTTTGCTTCTTATCCCAGAAGCACCAGCGCAGAGCAATGTAGTGCTGTGGCTAAGAAGCCAACACCACCCAGCAATCCCAGTCTGTAAGGTGCCATTCACAGACCACAAAGAAAAGATGCAGAATGAGTTTGTTTGACGTGGACACAAAGGTATCTCTGAAAACCTTGGCAAACGAAATCTGCATATTAAAAGCAATCTTCAGTATGATACGAGGAATCTCCTACAATGCTACATGCACGGGTATTACGACTGTGTAGATCTGTATGCTTGGGAATGTCATGTTTTGCAGGCTCTGGAAGTTTTTCAGTGGGATACACAGGCTTTTATAAACAGCACTTGGACAGAGAAGACACTTTCTGTTCTTCCATAAGAAGCCCCATCTGGGCTAACAACCCAGTGCAATGATTTGATTTTTCCTAGAATAACCCATCCCTTCATTTGTCTTCAGTGTAAAACAAAACAACAAAATTACAACCTCCCCTTTCTCCTGACCGCCTACCTCCAGACATACCTGGTCTCTATTCCTCAGTGCAGCAGCACTGGATCATGCTCAGCTGTTTGCTCATTGCAGGGGAATCACCATTATGTTTTTGTTATCTTTTATGTACCCTAGCTCCTGAAAGTCTGCAACTTAAAGCGCTGGAAAGGCTAATCCTGTTGAAAGATGATACACTACATGCTCTGCTATAGAAAATGATCAAGTCATTCTACTTACTACATCTATTTTTCAAGATACACGTATCACTAGAAAATATCCAGGAATACAAAGCGAAACATAAAGGAGAAAGGCAGAAAGCTTGCTGTCCTAACTTACCTTTCCTCTGAGTGGAGCTTTATGCATGACTGTGCCTCATAAGCCCAATCCAAACCAACCAGACACCAAACATTTCAGTCATCCCTAAGCTCCACGTGCTTTTCCTCGTGGCTCATCTCTTGCTGAATCTTAAAGCAGCCACCTGTTCCATGTGGCAGAATTTCAGCTTACGGCCTCACTTTTATCAGAATGAAAGTCCCCCGTAAGAATGCTCCCATCACACAGCTGTACAATGCAGTGCAGTGAGAGCATGACTGTGATTGCAGGCAGGTGATCAGGTCTCTCACGTACTAATCATAAATATCCACGACAAGGAATGGCCAGAAGCAAGCAGAAGGTATGGGTGTGGAGCATGCAGACGATGTGGATACAGGCTTTACTGATTGTAATGGCTTCTTTATTCTAGTAGAAGTCCTTGTTTAGTGTGGGGAGTTAAAAAAAAAAAAAAGACTTCTGGGCTATTTCCCATGCAGCAAGAAGTGGTTTTGTTACAGGTACGTTGGGGCATTTCCTCTGTACATTATTATCATCTCAGTATATGATATCATCATATACTATGGGCACTTAAAGGTACCAAAAAGGTCACAAGGAGCAAAAAGCACCAACACTGAGGATGGACTATCATACAAATCTCATTCTGTTAGGAGTATGGGAGGATAGCAAACTTTAAGAAGAGCTTAAGAATCACAAGCACAATCCTCCCAAGCCTTGTGGCCTCTGCAGTTAGACTTCCCCTTGCATCACAGTCTTCAAGTTCTCGTGACTGAAGAACTCTGGATAAAAATATAACATTTTAGAGCAAGTTCTGGGTCTCTGACATGACTTGAGACCAAGGACATGGACAGATGTGCTCTTGCACAGTTTGCACTGAAGATGACCTTATAGCTGAAGGCTTCTGCTTAAACTCCACAAAACCTGACTTTGCATTGGAATGTACGTGGCTTATTGGTGCAGTCAATAACTACAGGTTAGGGATGGAGTGGTAATTTACCACAAAGTGATAATAACAAGCAGTGTGTTATTGTGGTGCACGTGCCCCAGTGGCCAAACTGTGCAAGCATCTTACAAAGTATTCCCATTCTTTGCTCCATTCATATAAATCCAGGCTGCTGTTGGCTATCAAACACACACAAAAATGTAAATGGAAATACAGGTAATGCTCTCTATGTATCTTGCTTTGAAATACTTGGGCTGTGTATTTTGACAGTGAGGTAATAGCAGCCAAGTATTTATATATAAGTACAAAATTGCCTTTGTGTCACTGCTCATCCAGCCGAAGATTTATTATACTTTTGTATGCCTTTGTTTACACAAAGACTCAAAGTCAAAGCATAAAGAAACCAAAGCTGTCTCCCTATCACAGTTTCCCTTTACCTAACACTTCTGGCTCTGTATCACATCGCTCATGCTGGGCAGCATGTAAGAGCAATACAGCACAAGTTCTTGCATCCTTCCCTTTCAGAAAGATTAAGAATCTAAAGCACAAAGAAAGCACAATATAGGAAGCATACATACTCCAATACTGTCATTTTTGAGGATTCACATGTGTGAATCCCAAAACTAAATGAAAACTTAAAGAGATTTCTTGATGCCAACTCATTTGTTATCTCAGACATCACCCTCAGCTCCAGCCAACTTCCTTACATTCCGAACAAGACACATCACATTCAAAAAAATCAAAAAGATTTGAGCAAACAAATACTGACTGGTCTACAGATATTATGAGAATGATGAACAAAAATGCTGGTGAGATAAGACACACATCAAGGAATGTCAACGAGGAGAAAAAAACATGGGGGAGGAAAGGCATGGAGAAGCAAATCAATAAGTAATTTAAAAACCATTAAGGCAGTCACCGGCAGTAATGCACTAAAACCAAGCTAGGCGCTCCTCGACAGGTGGTACTGCCAATGTGGGAGGGCAATACACAACCAGTGCAGAAGAAAAAGATCTGCAATACAGCATTTCCAGCACAAAATTAACTTGTAAACTTAAACAGACTTCAGAGATAACAACAGACTTTTGATTTATGGGGACAACGGAAGATACGTGTCCTTCACTAACTTAAGGATGTTTATTCAACATCTGGGCGCAACATTCTGCTCTTCCTCCAGTTGAAGGAGGGAAGATTTAGGTTGGACGTCAGGGGGAAGTTCTTTACCAGCAGAGTGGTGAGGTGCTGGAACAGCTGCCCAGAGAGGCTGTGGATGCCCCGTCCATCCCTGGAGGTGTTCAAGGCCAGGTTGGATGGGGCCCTGGGCAGCCTGGGCTGGTATTAAATGAGGAGGTTGGTTGCCCTGCCTGTGGCAGGGGGTTGGAGATTCATGATCCTTGAGGTCCCTTCCAACCTGAGCCATTCTGTGGTTCTGTGATTCTGAAATGCACAATGTGGATTCAAATATCTGCTTTCTTTGTATCATCACTGCCCCTCAGCACCGCCCGCAGTGCACACACGGCAGAATCTAGCCTAGCTCAGCCCATTCTGCACCTCCTCCACCATGGAGCCACTGCTGTTTCTGACAGGCACAAACAGGGAGGGTGCCAATGCTCCTCTGTGACTTTGCACTGGATCATACAGATCCATCTGCTAAAGGATCCCCAGTTGCATGTATAAAAATGAAACCCTACGCTTCAAAAACACACCCTGAGCAGCAAAGCCTGCAAGAGTCAAATGTGCCAAGAGCTGCTATGGCAGCCCCAAGACATTTGGGCAATTCTTGACAGAATTAAAGTACACTGGGATTACAGAGCAAGGAAGTTGTGATGGGATCAGGACACAGCCCCTGCTCACTCTAGTGAACTACAGTTGCAGCTTGTCACTGCCTTTCTATTTTAATAATGGCAGGCAACATTACAGTGAGAGATTTGACTTATTTGAGCATCATTAATGAAGACTTTCTGAATAATAATAATACTAAAAATGAGAAAATGCATTTTGGTAGAAGTCTTGTTTTTCATCAGCTATCTTGACACAAACAGAAGTACCGCAAGGTGACACTCCAATACTGCTTTATATATTTAGACAAATATACATGCACCTACATAAATATACGGATACACATCTGCATCTATCTATCTCAGCCGTAATCATCTGTGCAAAAGCCCTTTCATCATGCACAGGGAATCCTGCTGCTGCACTTGACTTTTGCAGCCTGCAGCCTGCAGTGCACTAGGGGGCAGCCCTACCAAGTAGGAGCGAAGCTTCTCCTCCTCCAGCCCTTATAATAAAAAACAACGCTTTACCCTCTCCCAATTTTCTTCTTATGGAAACAGGCTGATGCCTTTTTTTATCTAGTAGTT